GCATATATATGCATATACACACATATTTAGGTACAGGACACATACATCTGTGGGTATATAAGCACATGTAACCTATATTTATGTTACATGTATTGAAGTAATGCACACAAGCTAGATAGCGATGTTGAATGTATTACTGAGAATGAGGAATGAAAGTGAAAACACCTGCAGTGGACAAGGGAACTGTAGACAGACAACCACAATTCCACACCTCCCCAAATCCCTGCTGCTGCTCAGCATCTTCAGTAGTAGCTAACTTTTAGAACCCACAGTTCCCACAGGATCATCTGAGCTGGTGAAGAAACCCCGTAGTAAGGGGGGGCTTCTCTACCCCTCCCCCACGGCCTGGGCACAACAGCGCTCCCTCCTGCATCGGTCCTGGTACTGCAGCGATCTCTGCAAGGGGTGTGAGGCCCTCCTGGGTGAGGACTTCGGTGTCCACTGGCTTCAGAACAGAGGGCACTACAGCATCCATCTCCAGGTGCTCCTGTCAGCTCTGGGGACCCTGGGTGGGGCTCTAGGCTGAGCATATGCCTCCACCTGCCTGGGCAATCCGGGGAGTTAGAGCCTAGGTCTGAGGGACACAGATTGAAGTCCACAGAGGGCGGGGCCCCTGGTGTGGTCAGATGGGGGAGGGAACAGAGACAGGACTTCCAGGCCCCTAGATCCGCTCTCTGCCCCTGCTCTCAGGCCCTTGGGACCCCAGAGAGCCAGTCCGGAAGTTCCGCCCACTGACTTCCGCTGGGCAATTCTGAGAGAGGAGAGCGCCATCTTTGAGAGGCCGGCTTCGGGTCCATAGAGGGCAGGAGCCCAGTGCTGCAGAGTCCAGGTATGACCCTGACGGACCACGGAGGCCACAGGACCAGGGAGGCCCTCCTGTCAGCACTGAGAGTCCTCGGTGGTTCGTCTTACCGGGAACTGCTTCCTGCCCCCCTCGCCCACCTCCTCAGAGAACGGGGGGGGGGGGGGGGGCGGCGGGGGAGGGGCGGCAGGACAGGCGCTGAGGGGGTGCAATCTCAGGTCGGCACCAGCGGGCCCAGGCTCTGCCTGGAATCAGGGTGAGGACCAGACGGAGGTCCCCGGGAGCTAGTTCAGGCCCTGCCGGGAGCCCTGGGGAGTGAGGCCCACAGGCCTCCCCTGGGGTCTCGGCGTGAGGGCCTCCGTGTGGGGGTCCGGCCTCCCGGTTCACAGAGGGAGGGTCCCAGGACCTGCAGGCCTCACGGTGAGGCCGTGGGGGGGACAAGGTGACTCTGGGCCCAGAGCAGTCAGTCCCGGGAGCCCCAAGGCGCGGGGGGACCACGAGCGGCGAGGCCTGACTTCCGGGTCCTCCGGGTCTGAGACCCTCGGGCGGCTCCGTGTCACCGCGGCATCTCAGGTCGGCAGAGGGGGTCCGGGTCCTGCCCGGAGTCAGTGTGGGGACCCTGAGGGAGACTGGGGGCCTGGACCCCAGAACAGTGTCCATCGGGCAGGCCTCCTTGGGGTGGGGGAGGGGTGATCTCACACATTGTGCTTTGTGATTTCTGCATTGGGTCTGAGAGACCCGGGGGTTTCGTAGGAGGAGCAGGGCTTCAGGCAGCACAGGGGGGACCCCAGTTCCTGCTGCTGTCAAGTTTAGGACCCTGAGGGAGATTGTGGGCCTGGACCCCAGAATTCTCAGTCCGGGGAGGCCCAGTGGGCAGGCTAACCACAGGCATAGTTTCCTGACTTCCCCATCCAGGTCCGGTGTAAGGAGCAGCGCCACAGGTCAGCTGGGGGAGCACGGAGGTGACCCTGGACCCCACAATGTAGAGGACCCCATAAAAGTCCTCCCCTGCTACAAGCCATGGGGTGCTCCAGTGGCAATGAGCATGTGCGGTGTCCCCTGACTTCAGCAGCAGGTCTGAGCCAGGCTTGGAACTTGATAAAACGTGCAGGGCCTCAGGTCCACAGAGGGGAGGGCAGAGTTGCTGCCCAGAGCCAAGTGGCATCCATGGCTTCACATCTGGGTCAGTGAGCCTGTGGGCTTCAGTGAACGGAACAGGGCCTCAGGTAGGCAGAGGGAGGGCCCAGGGCCTGCCAGAGTCAAGGTGAGGACCAGGAGGGAGGACTGAGGGGACCCAGGAACCCCCAACGTAGAGCTCCACAAAAGCTCACTCTCACTCTTTGCCATGGTAGGTGCCACGAATGCTTTCCAGGTATAATGTTTAATGACTTCTGCCTGGAAGTCTGAGAGAGGCGAGGACCAAGTCTGGAGGATTGCTACACGTCCACAGAGGGAAGGAGCCTAGTCCTGCAGAGAGTCCCGGTATGACCCTGAGGGAGGATTGCCCCCCCCCACCACCACCACAGAATCCAGCTTTGCCCCTTCTATCAGCACCCCGAGTCCCAGGGACTCAGCTGACTGGCTGAATGCTACTAGTATTTCCTGGAAACCACCAGCTCCCACTTCCTTATATAACTTGGGAGTCAAGGACATGGTCAGAAAGGCGCAACTGGAGGTTTGCAGGGGGCAGGGCCCAAACTTTGCCTGGAAACAAGATGAGGAGGGAGGGAGGGAGGGCTAAATACCTTATTGAATCGTTTCAGCCCCCTGCTGGGTGCCCTGGGAATCCCATGGTTTGGTGGCCTGATGTAAACTGCCCCCTCTTTGATCCCTTGTACAATCTTTGGAGGTATTAATCACAAGGGGAATTTGCTGACTTCCACATTCTGATCTTGGAGAGACTGAGAAATGTATATAGGAGCAGCTGTTCATTCGGCTAGAGTGGAGGTGCCAGGTTCTACAGGGTGTCAAGGTGAAGACCCTAAGGCAGGGGTCCTCAAACTACGGTCCACGGGCCACATGCAGCCCGCCGAAAACATTTATCCGGCCCGCCGGGTGTTTTTGCCGCCGCTGTGTGCATAGGAATTTGTTCATAGTTTTTTTTTTGAAAACTATAGTCCGGCCCTCCAACGGTCTGAGGGACAGTGAACTGGCCCCCTGTTTAAAAAGTTTGAGGACACCTACCCTAAGGACTGAGAACCCAGGACCCCAAAGCAGAGATGGATCCAGTGCCCGAACTTGGATATTTCCTGTCCTCTGCCTGGGCAGTGTGGGTGTCCTCTGGAGGCATAGGCCTTGGACTAAGGAGTGTGGTTTCAGGTCAGCAGATGGTGGCCTTGGCCTTCAGGATGCATTCTCTGGTTAGGAAAAGGGATAGATCTAGGCCCTGCCAGGAGTAATTTTGTATACCTTAAATTCATTGAGGAAGTTTCCACCACAGACAGAGGGGGCTCAATAAAGTCTGCCCCTGTCATTCTTTTCATCCCTGAAATGCCGCAGATGATGCACTTTCAGTACTGAGGGAGATGAGTCCTTTTTGTGAGCATCAATATCAGGTCAGTAGAGGTAGCCACATCTGGTCAGCAGAGAAAGGAGTCCCAGGATCTGCCATATCTCTAGAAAAGGACCACCTGGGAGGGTGGAAGGCATGAAGGTCACTGACCTTAAAAGAGAAGGTACCACAAAGTGTCCAGCTTGCTATGTTCTCAGATCCAGGAGGACCCTGTCAGGGATGCCTGAGTGTGGCAACCTCCCACTGCTGCCACAGTGTTTGGGATGGGGGATCTTGGGGATGTGAGGACCTAAGTCAGAGAGAAATGTGAGGTCAATGGAGGGAAGTGTTCATGATCTCTCAGGTGACAATGTGCTTACCCTTTGTGAAGCCTAAATGTGCACCGTCTTCTCAGAAAGGGAAGGATGACACAAAGTCCAGGTGGCCCCTGTTCTCAGACCTGAAAGAAGCATATTGGCCCTAAGTGATATGCTTCTTTCTATCATGGGCAGAAAAGTGGGGAGTCATCAAGGAGGTGAGGACTTGATGGGAGAGACCAAGTGTTCCAGGTGGGAGGCCTGGAAGAAGGGCAGGTCCTGGCAGGAGTAAAAGTGAATCACCTTCAGGGGCACCGGGGAACCCTACCAGGACAGAGATCCCTGTCTCTGCTGCCAGCCTTTTGTGATGTTGGCAGGGGTAGGGGTGATTTGGGGCAAGGATATGAAGCTGCCTCACTTTGCTCTATAGCCTCTTAGGGAGGTAATGACCATGATCTGAGAGTACATCAGGTCATTTGAGGAAGTACACCTGTTCAACTGAGAGCAGAGTCCTACGTCCTGCCAAGAGTCAAGGTGAGAATCCTAAAGAAGGAGTTAGTGTAGCCCAATCCCCAGAACAAAGTGGGGGCCCCCAAAGAAATCTGGCCTGTCCCTATTGTCAGCTCTGAAAACCCTGCGCAGGGCTGTTAGGTTGAGCCCCTCCCCATTTACAGATCCAAGGACCCAGGGAGGGCACATCCTTGGTCTGATGGTCTGGACTCAGGCTAGCTGAGGCAGGAACCCAGGCCTTGGCATGGGTCATGGTGAGGAATGAGGGGACCCTTCACACTAGGACATGTGGAACCCATAGATTATGGTCACACAGTGTTGCCCTTGATGAGTACTATAAGCCTGGACAGGTACTACAAAATATGGGAACCACTTACTTACTTCTGTTAAGTTTTAAGCATGCGTGTTCTTGTTGTAAGAGTGCTCTCAGGCCAGTGGGGCATGGGGGTGGGGGAAGCAGGCCCTGAGTGGGCACAGAAGGATCCTTGCCCCCAGAAAGGAAGACATTTCATAGCACACGACCCCACTATCAGACCCAGAATCTCTGGCTGTGCCAGTTTTTTGTTTCCACCTTCAGGATATTAGGGGACAGGTTTCCCAGCAGGAGAGACCCCTGTGAGACCTAAGAGCATCCCTGTAGAGTAGCCCTAAAATTCTTCATTCACAGAGCTGCCAAGGGTGTGTTCCTCAGCTGAGGATACTCAGGTAGCCAAAACCTGTTGCAGGTGCAGCTATTCAGGGATGAGGAGGGCTTGGTTATGTCTGCCTCCTTATCTTTGTCCCTCTCTGCCTTGTTCCCACACAGCCTAGAGCGGGTGTCTGCTGCTGAGACACCAAGTCCTTCCCAGAGCCCTCCGGTTCCTGACGCTGTGCCCCTGCTATGGCAGCCCCTACATGGAGCCAATCTGAAGATGAGGGCGTCAGCAGCCAAGATGAACAGGAGACAAACAGCAGAGAGGACTCTGAAGATTCTGAGTCATCACTCCACGATGCCCTATATTTGAAAATGACTGAACTGGTGGAGTTTCTACTCCCGAAGTATTGTGCAAAGCAGTCAACTACTAAAGCAGAAATGCTGAGTAAGGTCATCAAAGAGTACGAAGATCAATTCCCTGAGATCCTCAGCCTAGCCTCTGATTTCATGCAGGTCCTTTTTGGCATTGATGTGGAGGAAGTGGACCCCAGTACCCACACCTATGTCCTGGTCACCACTTTGGGGCTCACATATGATGGGATGGTGTCCAGTGGGCAATCCATGCCCAACACTGGCCTCCTGGTCATGCTCCTGAGATTGATCCTTGCAGAGGGCGACTGTGCCTCTGAGGAGGAAGTCTGGGAAGCCCTGAATGTCATGGGCGTGCATGATGGGAAGGAGCATTGGATCTATGGGGAGCCCAGGGAGCTCCTCACCAAAGTTTGGGTGCAGGAAGGGTACCTGGAATACCAGCAGGTGCCCAACAGCGATCCTGCTCGCTACCAGTTTCTGTGGGGCCCCAGGGCCCACGCTGAGACCACCAAGTTGAAAGTCCGTGAGACTTTTCTCAGGGATTATAGAAAGGATCCCAGTTATGTCCCATACCTGTCTGAAGAAGATATAAGTGATGAGGAAGAGGGGGCCTGAACCAAGTTTCACTCAGGAACCTTTCAGGTCCATGTCTGGCAGCTTCTCCTGCTAGACATGACGTGAGGCCAATTCTTTACTCTGTGTTTGAAAAGAGGGTAGTCCACAGTCTAGGTAGTAAGGCCCAGGGCTATTTGCGGGGAATAAGGGCTGTAGCATCTTTGGGTTCCTGTGATGATTTAAAAATGTATCCTTGTTTTCTGTAGAATTTTTCAAATGTTTCTTTTCATAGGTTTTGTATACTTCAGTTTGTGAATGACATTGACCAGACATGTATTTGTACTATCCAGTTCAAAAGTAAGAGTTTTGCCATTGTGTAATAAAAAATGGGACACCTTTCAGTGTACTTTGTGATTCTGAACTAGATAACATGGCATCAGAACGGTATTTTCTTGGAAATGTGAAAAAACTTGAAGGAGAAAGCGAGACAGCTCTCAGCGTAAAGCTGGCACAAACCAAGGTACTGAGGTTGACAGTGGTGTGGTGTGGTGTGGGGTCAGGGACTATTGGGTTTACTCTGTTATGGGTGGATGGTCCCTTTTCTGGTCACTCAGAGCCCTCACATTTTCTTTGGCAGGGCTTGGGCCCCACCCTTCTGCTGGCCTGAGATAAAACTCTCAGAATAATACCACACATCCCTGAGACTGAATAGAAGAAATTGGGGGGGCCTACATCTGGCCCTTATACTCCCAGTGGTTCTGGGATGGGATGACAGCTGGGTCCTCACCAGGACCTCTACCAGGGCCACAGATCCTGCTTTAGCTGACCTGACTTCAGACCCTCAGACCAAGGCCCTCTGGTCCCTGAGACCACCAATCTGGAAATGAGGAGGGGCTCAGCCTGACAGCCGTGCATGGGTTTTCAGGGCTGACAATAGGGACTGGACAGATTTCCTTGAATCCCCTCTTTGTTCCCAGGGTTGGACTACACTCTTCCTTTGGGGGCACTCACTTTGACTCTTGGCAGGACCTGGGACTCTGCTGTCTGTTAGCAGATGTGTTTCCTCGGTTGACTTGAGCTATCTTCTCAGACCAAGGTCCTCACCTCCCTGAGAGCCCTGAGAGAAGAGCTCCAAGGTCAAAAAAGACTGGCAGCAAGGACTGGGCCCTCTATCCTGGGGTGGGGTTTCAATTCTTCCTATAGGTTACTTATCTTTAGTTCTGCCAAGGCCTGCCCTTCCTCCCAGCACCCAATATAGGGTAGTTGTCTTCTCCCCCCTTAGACCACGACCTAACCTCCCTGAGGACTCCCTACCTTCCCACCAATGACAGAAAGGATTGTGCCACTTAGGGCCACTAGTGACTATTCCTTTCAGGGCTGAGGACATATGGCAACCGGACTCTGGGTCATCCTTTCATTTATGATAAGCAGGTGGGAACATTAAGGTTTCATGAAGGGCCCACATCTTGACATATGGCCGATCCTGGGACTCCTCCTTCTGCTGACCCCACCTTTCCCCCCAGACCAAGGTCCTCAGATCCCTAAGATACCCCATCCCCAGCCACATGGCAGTCATGGGAGCATGCCACACCCATCCATCCTTGCCTGGATCCTCCCAGGCCTGAGAGCAAGACAAGCTTGACTCTGTAAGGTCCCTTATCTTTTGGGCTGGTGGAACCTTCATACTCTCCACCCTCCCTTTCTTGAGACCTGGCAAATCCTGGGACTCCTTTCTCTGCTAACCAGATGTGGCTGCTTCTGCTGACCTGAAATTGCCCCACAGAACAAGGCCTTACCTCCCTGAGAGACCAAGGCAGAGTTGAGGGTGCATGGCCTGCAGCCACCCATACGTGGGGACTTCAAGGAAGACAGGAGTAGGCCAATTTGAGTGGGCTCCCTATGTCTGTAGCGGGGTCTGCTAAGTCCTCCATCAGGGTACTGGGACCCCACCAACTGCGGATTTGCTGTCACACTCTTCATCCCAAGGCCTTTATATCCTGAAGCCCCCCAAGGCAGAAGTCAGGAATCATTTTATCTGGTTATCCTATTCTTGGGCCTTCAGAGACTGAAAGCAGGGGCATAGAATCCATCTCTGATTTGGTATCTTAGGTCCTCAGTCCACCCTCAGGGTCCTCACCTAGACTCCCCGCAGGACCTGGGTCTGCCCCCACCCATGTGGTGATTTGCGGCCCTGATCCTTACATGAAGTTCCCAGTCTCTCATAGACCTGGATGCAAAAGTCAGGAAAGACCACATGTGATTGATAGCTCCAAGGGGTGTCTCAGGGCTGACAGTAGGGGTGGGCTTCTGTTGGGTCACTTCTGTTCTGGGGTTCAGGGCACACTTAGTCTTGCCTCAGGGTCCTCCTCTTGACTCAGACAGGAGTTGGGATCCTCCCCTCTGTTGCCTGAGGTCCTGGTCCTTATACCAAACTCCCAGAGTCTTTCAGACCCAGATGTGAAAGTCAGGACACACTGCATGTGGTTATCCTGCCCTTGGAACCTCTCAAAACTGACTGTTCTGGGGTCCAGGGTCCTTTTGGCCTTCCTCGGGGTCCTATCCTTGATCCTAGCATGACCTGAGATTCTCTTCTGCTGCCTGAGGTCTTACTCCTTATACCAAACCCCTAGAGTCTCCCAGACCTGAATGCAGAAGTCAGAAAATGTCACATTTGTTCATCCTCCCATGAGGCCTGCCAGAATTGGCTCTGTTCTGGAGTGCGAGATCCTCATTCTTCCTCAAGACCCTAACCTTGATTCCACACCGTGCTTCTACCCTTACTTGAGATTATTCTTTTCACCAAGTCCCCAGTCTCTCTCAGACCTGGATGCGGAAGCCAGGACACGCTGCACCTGGTCATCAGTCGTGGGGCCTCCCGTGGCTGATGGCAGGGGCGCACTTTGGTGGGGTCCCTTTTGTTGTAAGCCCTGGGTTCCCTTACCTTTCTGTAGGATCCTCACGTTAACTCTGGCAGTTCCTGGGCCTTCCCTCTGGTGCCTGAAGCCCTGTTCCTTATACCAAATCACCAGAGTCTCACAGACCCAGGTGCAGAAGTCAGGAAACACCATGTATGGCCATCCCACCTTCTTGGCCTCCTAGAAATAACTGTCCCTTTGTCGTCCCCCATGGCCTTTACATTGAACCCTTGTAGGTTTTGGAACCTCTTTCTGTTGATCCAAGGCCCTCACTGTTAAGTCTGAGAACATCACATCAGTCCACTAAGCCTGGGGATTCCCAGGGCTCCCAGCAGGGCCTGAAATAGATTCCATGGGGTCCTCCCTCTGTTCCTCACCCTGATTCCAGGCAGAGTCTGGGTCCCACCTGTGCCGACCTGAGATTGCTTCGCTCAGAACTTGTCCTTGACTCCCTGTTCTTTGAGGAGGTGGGCGAGGGGTGCAGGAAATAATTCTCAGTAAGACACCCTACCCTGGGCTCTCAGTGCTGACAGCAGGGCCACCCTGGGTTCTGGGGCCTCAGTCCTCCCTCAGGGTCATACCTGCACTCTCTGCAGCACTGGGCTCCTTCCCTCTACTGACATGAAGCTGGCCTCCTAGACGCAGGCTCAACTCTCTCAGACTTCTGAGGTGGAAGTCAGTGAAGGTCATATCTGGACAGCATTTCTGCCCCCACCCCAGGGCTGACAGTAAGGATGCAAATAGGTCCTGTGGGTGCTGAAGTACTCCCCACTCTGGTCCTCACCTTTATCTTGTAGGACCTGAGCCCCTGCCTTCTGCTAACCTGAGTCTGTGACCAAGGCTGTGGCTCCACCATTTCCCTGAGAAAGTGGAGGGGACATGGGTGCTCAGTCTGACAGTCCTCCTGGGATTCCCCAGAACTAACAGTAGTACCCAGAGTTGGATTCTGTAGTGCCTTCTGTTCTGGTGTGAATAGATCCTTCAGTCCTCACTCAGGAGAGGGCCTCACAACCCTTGCAGAGATTGCTGCAGTACCAGGAAAGATGCTGCAGGGGGCACTGATGTGCCTAGGGTGTGGGGGAGGGTCACAGAAGCCCTCCCCCACTTTCCATAGCATCTCTTCACCAGCCTGGCTGAGACTTTGGAAAACATGTGTTCTTAAGGTTTCATTTTTTGTTCATTTGTTTTTATTGATTTCAGAGAGGAAAAGAGAGTTAGAAACATCAATGATGAGAGAGAATCACCGATCGGCTGCCTCCTGCATGCCTCAAACTGGGGACCAAGCCCACAACCCAGGCACGTACCCTTGACCGGAATAGAACCTGGGACCCTTCAGTCTGCAGGCTGACGCTTTATTCACTAAGTCAAACTGTTTAGGGCTAAAGGTTTCATTTTTGTACTGAAGACACTGAGCAACAGAAGGAATTTGAGGAGGTCCTGCAGGTTTGTGGTTGTCTGTCTACCTTTGCTTGTCATTGTAGGAGTTTTTGATCACTTTTTGATCTTTATTCGTAGTAATACATTTTACATCTCTACCTAGTGTATTTTTAGAATATATTTGTGAATATATAATTTCATGAAAGACTACTTACCCTTACTATCTGTGGTTCACTGGTTATTCTATTTCTATTCCATTCTTTACATTAGATTAAAATCATAATTTTTTGACAGACCCATCCTTACCCACTGAGGCGGTTTCAGATGGCTATATACTGACTCCAGGGTATCTCAATCCATGGCACTTTTCTGCTAATCTGGTATTATTCCAGGGATACTAGCATGGCAGTATCCCACCAATGTAGTCTGAGGGCCTCAGATTTGTGAAATGAGCAAGAAAAAAGTTTAAACATTTTCCCCTACCCACCTTGTTGTCTGCATCTATGCAAACTACACCCCCTCCCTATGCGTTACTCCCCATGTCTCTATCCCAAACACAAGTCTTCAGTCTCCACAAGACAGCTCACCAGTCTTCAGTCTCTCCCAGGGCTTTCTCATGATTCATTGTTTAGATTTTGTTGTTGACTTCCCCACCTGCTTCCTTCTATAGTTTTCCAGGTTTGATTTGGGGAGCAGAAGCCATCAGTCTGAGCATGGTTGTGATCCTGACAGTTACAGGTAAGGCACTAAATCTGTAAATCATTTAAGCAGAATTAACATGTTTAAAATACTCTGGTCCCCATCAATGAATATGATATACTGTTCCATTTATTTAGGTCTTCTGTTACCTAAATCTATCAGCAAACTTGCATATTTATATATATTTATACAGATATGTAAAGGTATATAACCATACATATGGTATGGTATACATATATACAATATTAAAGATATATCCAATAGAATATATCTTATGTGTGTCATATATGTATAATATACATTATTATCTATAAAGTATTTATATAGTTTTACATAGTTACATAGATCTTATACATTTTTGATAGACTTCCTCATCAGTAGTTTTCATATGTTGTTGTTGTGAATGAGGTATTTTATATTACATGTTCTCATTAGTTACTGAATTAGTCACAGAACTTTTTATTTTACTGTAGTAATCTTTCATATACTATCTGAAGTCTCATTCACTTGACTATCCCACGTGCCTACTATATCTTTGAATTTTCAAAACAGATGATCAGATTGTGATCAAACACTATCTCTTTACTTAAAATATTCATACATGTTATTTATGTGACGGCTCTGGCTTTGTCTTCCAGTACAGTTATAAATTATAGAGGTGAGAATAAACATTTATGTGTAGTTCCTGATTTTAATAGGGTTGCTGCTAACATTTTACATTTAAGTATATTTACTGTCTATTTTAGGAAATGAAAGTTCCTCTAACCTTAGCTTGCTAAAACTTTGCATTATGAGTTCATCTTCGGTTTCTTTAAAAGACTTTTTCTTTATTCATTGACTGTATCACATGATTTTTATTTCCTCTAATTTGTTAATGTAGGGAATTACAATTGAAAGTAGTTTCTAATGCTAAGTCATATTTTTATTTCTCAGACACAGACTGTTCATTTAATTCTCTGCTCCACTGAATATACTAATAGTCATCAGAAAAATTCCAAGTGGCATCCTACAATATAGCTGACCAGTATAGTACTCTTCAAAACTGTCAAAGTCATAAAAAAGGAATGTCTGTGAAATTGTCACAGCCAATAGTATCCTAAAGAGGCATGATGACTAAATGTAATATGGCATCCTACATGGGAACCTGAAACAGAAAAGGACATGAGATAAAAACTAAAGAAATCTGAATCAAGTGTGGATTTTTGTTAATAACACTGTAACAATATTAGTTCATTAGTTGTGACAAATGTACCATAATATAGCATGTTAATAATAGAGGAAGCTGAATGTGGAGCATATGGGAAATCTTTGTACAATCTTTGCAAACATTTGTGTAAATCAAAAACTATTCTAAAATAAAAAGTTTATTTGAAAAATTAAAAAGAGAAAATTTAGCCAACTAGATAAATGATAAGTATGAAAAACCTATAGCAAAACATTAAACTTATACGAAGAAAAGTTGAAAGCTTTTAAGTTTAAATTGGGAACTAGAAAAGTATAACTGCCACCACCAATTCTAGTCAATAGTTTTATAGAAATACTAGTCAGTGCAGTAATGGAGACAGAAAAATAAAATATATAGAGATCAGAAAGCAAGAAACAAAGATGCCACAATAGCAGGTTAGATTGTATATGAAGGAAATTCAAAAGAACTCAAGTTAAACTATTGAATCAATGAACGTGCATATAAAGATTGCTGACTTTAACACTGATATACAACTTTGTTTCAATAGCAATAAATAGTATGTCAATAAAAGTAAAAAAAATGTAATCTGTAACTTATCATATCAAAATATCAAGTAAGACTAATGCTGGCCAAATAACATTTAATAACTTCATGGAAAAATGGATAAATGCTACTTAGATAAATTAATAATGTTTGACATAAATATAAAATATAATAAGATCATGGATGTGAAGATTCGATATTGTAAACACGCTAGATCTTTCTAAAATTAATCTATAGATTGACCACAATAGCAATAAAAAGCTCAAAAGGCTTTGCGGGTGAATATGTGTATTTATGTACATTTGTATATGAAACATGACACAATGATTCTAAAATTTAAATTGACATAAATTGGGCTAAGGCTCTCTTGAGATATTAGAAAATAAGACAAGTTATGCTACTAGATAAGAACTGTTAAAAAACTATAGTAATTAAATTTGTGGTTTGGATGCAGGGGTTAACAAATAGACCAATGAAACTGCATAGAGCCCTGAAATAGACATGCTTATATATGCACCCTTGATTTATGAAAAAGGTGCAATTTCAGAGCAGTGGGGAAAGAACAGTATTTTATGAATGACAGTGAAAAAACTGGTGTCTATATAGAAAAAAAAATGCTGCTAGAACCCTCCTGTTATTATACAAATGTCAACTGCAGAGGGATTAAATACTTTTTAAATTGTTATAAAAATGTTCAGCCATACATATAATAAGTATACAGAATAGTAAAATGAACCTTCATATATTCTATCATCTAGAGCAGCAATTTTCATCTCATGGCACACCTAAAGTAACTACTAAAATTCTGCGGTTGAAAATCACTGATTTAGAGAGCTAGCAGTCTGGGTCAAATAGAGCATGGATAATGCTGAAAAGGAGGCTTGGGACACTAGTCAGATTAGTAACAAAAAGGGTGAAGATTATATGAATTGAGAAACATAGGAAATGGTAGCTCCTTCTGCCCCCTTATCTCCAACATTGATGTCCTTATTACCTCATGGGCCTTTGTTTTCAAAGAGCAGGACATTGTACTTAGCCATGGCTTGGGAGAACGCTACCTGGGCTAAGGATCTGTTCATTTTGTCTCCCACTGCACCCATCTTTCTGCTGACCTCCGAGACTCTGGAGAGCATGTCTTGACATACCCACAGATGTATGACTTGACAGCATGGTTCCAGAGACTCATGACAAAGGGATGTTTTGCTCCGATGAAGATGTCCTGTAGATCCTGCTGTCTTGCAGAAAATCCTTTATGTATACCCTCACTATTGGGGCTTGGATTACTTCATGAAGCAAAAGAGGGGTCTCTTTACTTATTGAGGTCAGGGGTACTTTAAATGAGAGGATAGGAATCACAGAATGATTCAACAGTGGTCAGGCAGCTTCCAAAGATGGCAATGGGAAAGCCTCTTCCTCTAGCACATGAACCTCCACCAGTCTCATCAGGAAGAATGCAAATCCTGCCATAGCTGAGTTGGTCCTGAACAAAGTGGACCTGGAGATGCTCAAGCCTTCAGTGACATCTCTGACAAAACTACAAGTAACCTTATTTTGGCATCTCAGTTTCAAAATTCTTCTGAGAGTTCTGTCAATGGTGGGTACAGATGAAAGGAAGTGTGTGGAAGAGATATATGGATGAGCCCAGTATTAAGACAGCAATCCCCAATAGGTAGATGAGATGACCAACATGGACTCTTTCCTCTTGTAGGGCCCCCTCAGCCAACTGACTTGTGGCCCTATTTATGGTTGACCCAATTCTCATTTAGAGAATGAGACTGCCAGCCTAATGCCTTTCTAATCAGGAGGTTCAAATCCCATCTTGATGGTCCAGGGACTTCATTAAGACACTTCCATGACACTCAACTGCTGAGCCACATTGGCCAGGATAGTGTGGCATTTTAATGAGACCCTGCAAACTTTCAAAACCTGAATATGATGTTCTCTTTTCACCTTCACAGGGCTTTCTTTTTTTTTTTATCTTTAATTTCTTTACTGGTTAAGGTATTGTTCTCTATTCTTCACATCTACATCAGCAAAGGACATTTAATTTTTTTTTTATGAAGACGCCCCCCCAATGGAAATAAATGTCCATATTGTATTTTGGCACCACAATGACTTGCTATGTTTTAAAATACTTTTGTTTAAAATGATTAGAATAGCTTGTGCAAAAGTGTAAACTAATTTTACTGATAACTGTGACATCACCATTTCCCTTCCACTCAGAAACCCTGGATTCAAATGCCCCAGGGTATGAGGAGGGCAATGTGCAAAGCCAGGGGAAGGTGAAGATGGGCAATGGAAATGAGAGGTTTCCAGGGACCAAGTAAAGCTCCCTCCCAACACAACAGAGAGGAAACACAATGACCCATAAACATATTTGCCATTATATATATATTTATTTTCTTCTTTTGGCTATTTACAAACCTTTATTTAATCATAATTTTCAGAAGCATAATTTTATGGTTTCTTTTTTTTTTAATTCAGAATTGGTCATGTCTTTTTCATGCAAGAATTTACATTTAATAAGAACAAAGGGCACCAGGTCGTCTTGTGGGGTCTCTGCTGCTCTGTGTCCTTTTGTGGGTCAGGCCATCCAGGGCACGTGGATCTTAGTCCTCTTCCTTTCTTGGTTTTCATCTCCTGGACCCAGCACCTCTCTTGAAGAAGTACATGCGTATATGTGTAGTTTTACTTTATTTCATCTGCCTCCAGAATGACACTGGCTTGACTGGCTTCTGAATAATTCCTTGGCACTGTGGTCAGTTGCACTACACCTGTGTACCTTCAGTTCTGCTGATGACTACTGACCCCAGGGACGCAATCTAACAAGATGGTGGGTGCAAAGTCTCACACATGTTGAGTCAGCAAAGGTGACCCTGACCAACTGGGGCTTTTTCATAATTGAAGTATTTGAGGATGACACTGTAACACCCCCCTCCCTACCCTGAAAACCCAACACTGATAATAAAGATTTCATATTGATCACAGGACATTATACAACAAACATGAACACAATGCATTTTGTAGGACAAGTCACAATTTCCTTTGGTGCTCAGCACCACAATAGGGTACCATATTGGTGGATAACTTAGCAAATGCATTCATTAGTTAATAGCTCAGAAGGTTAGTTAGCTCTTTTATGTACAGAATAAGGAATGGCCACAGTCTCAGCAAAACACAGCTCTAAATATACAAAGACTTTGCAGCATTGCTATTAACTAGATGACATAGATTGTAAGAATACATTTGACAAGCTCTAGTAAGACTCAACAGCTCTTCTGTTAGTTCTGCAAAAGTGACCCACAGTGTCAGATGGAACAGGAGAGAATTTGGTAGGAAACATGTCCCACATAAATACATTAAAATGACACTTTGAAGAGACAGAGGGTGTCTTTCCCACGGTAGTGATGGAGAGGGTATTTGAGGGGGAAAGTTAATATGATAGCCCATGTGAGGAAAAGAAAAGGAAATTGGTAGAGGATTAAGTGGGGGTTGCTCCATCCCAGACTTAGCAACACCTTTTCCTCTGCCAAAGATCAAAATTATCTATCACCACAAGCACTCTCTGGCTAGGGCTGAGAGAGGCTCCATGGGCCAAACCCCAGGAGTGCCCTACTTGATGCTCTGCACTTCTAGAGTTACTTAGTGTGAGGTATGAAATAGGAGGGGATATAGGCAGCCAGTTGGAGGAAGGTTTGCCTGTACCACTGGGGATAGCTGAGGATGGGGCTCAACAATGAAGCTAAAGACAGAACACACATTGAACATGACAAGGGGCGATCTGGCAATTTTCACGCTAAAATGACCAAGTCCATGGCAAACTCACAAGGTTCAAGTTTCTGAAAAGATGTCATTGCCAGACCTCCACCTCCCCTTGACACTTAGCCTCACACAGTGTGAGTTGCAGTACAGTTCAACACATTGCAGCACATTAGGGCAATATATTCTTTTTAAGATATACTATTATATCTAGCTACGTGAATCTATAGATATTTACAACTGGCTTCTCTACTCTTCTGTGCTTTGAAGTTTTCCTGTGCATTGCTGCCAGACACACCTTAAACCCCATTTTTGTCCCCACTGATCTAGTCTCTTTCACTAGTATGACCTCACCCTAAATGAACTGCTTGCCTCCTATAGGGCTCAAAGGCCCTCCAGGATCTTGGAAACCCAAATCCAAACCAACCAACCAACGTTTATGTCTTCCTGTAGCCATGGTGGGAGCTTCATATGTGGGGTCATTGCTACCTCTCTGTGAGAGGTGTCCAAAAAGAAAGAAGCAATCTTAGACTTTCCAGGGGCAACTTTTTTGTTTTTAATCTGTCTTACAAGATTGTGTGTGTGTGTGTGTGCGCGTGTGCGTGCGCGCATACAAGTGCAAACACATGTGATTGTGTTTGTGACATATGTGCAGCTGTGTGTTTGTGTATGTATTTGTGTGTACTAGTATATGTATATACTGCTGAGGGTGAGTGCCCAACATGTGTATCATGTATGTGTGACTCTGTAGATCTCTGTGGGTGTGTATGTGCAGGAGGCTATATTTATATGCTGCATCTATAGAAAAGAAGAGGAGAGGTGATAAAATGGGTTGATCCTGGCAGGCAGTCCCTGGGACCTATTGTACTTCTCTTCTTGGTCAGCCTTCTCACCTTTCTAATTATCTCTTTCCCTGGAGGGGGTGGAAAGAGGGATTTCCAAATCCAAGGCTGAAGTTCAACAACAACCATCCCGGGGTAGCTACTAAAGCACTGCTGCCCCTGAATGGACTCACCACCACAGTCCATGCCTGCAGCCATCTCCCAGGTACCTTTGGTTCTCTGCATCCAGCTGTTAGCATCCAATTCCCTGGGTCATTTCCTCATATCACAAACCTGCTTGGGGCTGCCTCCAAGGTCAGGCTTACAAGGTGGTTGAAATAAAGGGATGAGTTATCAAGGCTATATACAACCATATCTATAGTTCTTTAGTTCTTTATATCATATTTCTATTCTCAATGCATCTTTAAGGCATTCCAAACACGTCCTTCCAGGACAAAGCAAAATGCTCTGCATTCCCAACTTATCCCACGATTGAGCAATTCCTACCTCAAGGCACTAAATTATCACTTCCTAAGACTTTAGGACTACATTCACTTCTATCTAGGAGATAGCACAAGTGGGTGGAGGGAGAAGAAGAGAAGCCACTCCCTGAAACAGGAATTGGAAAGAAGCAGTTAATCAGCCTGGCCAAAAAGATACCTCCCCCTTCCTGTGGGAACAGGCCAAGGGAATTCTGTTGGTTCTAGAAGAGCCACCAACAAGAAATACATATGTTTTCAGGTGTATTTCCTTTCACACCCATTCAAATCAGATAAATAAGCATAAGTATGCACACGTGCACTTAGGCCTACACTCAGAACATACCCATGTGTGTACACACAAGCACACACATACATAAATCACAAGTTTACACACTCTTTCATAAGGGTGCATACACACATATATGTATCCACACATTGTTATATATACATTCTTATACACACCAATAGAGATTTACACTGATATACATATAGCTATACAGCTTCTCAAATAGTTGTATGTGCACACAGAACTACCTTGATGCACACACACACACACACACACACACACCCTGGTATACACAGAAACAAACACAGAAACACAGTTAAAAGGGGAGGTGACTGAGGGATTGCAGGGAGGCTGCCTAGGAAGGAAGGAGGACCATATGCTGAGTGCTTTGCAAATCTTGTTCCTCCATGGCCTCAATCAATGAGTTGGAGTTGTTTGGCACATTGGAGCACAAGCTAATTTCTACTTCCCTTAGAAGCCCCAGTGAGTGGGCAGTGCCCATATTCCATATGTTCACACTGGTCACTGGGGGCTTCCTGCACAAATGCTCCAGGTACCATAGAATGAGGTCTGGTGCCTAGCAGAACCTGATGGAGCACCCCCTTTTGTAAAGTGAAGGGGAGAAACAGGGAGTGCCTCAATTGAGAGAGTTAAGTGGACAAGAAGGAAGAGCAAGTGGTGTGGCTTTACCACTTACTGGCTGCATGTTCTCAAGCTCCATTTTTCCCCCTTGGAACATTGGGACAATGTGCTTTGCCTTCTCTAGCTCACAGGGTTCCTGTGAGGGTCTGACGAAATGATGGTTCTGTGAGCTCATTGACACTACACTGGACAAATAGAAAGGATTAGTATAGAGATTCACAAAAGTTGTTCATATGCTATTCTAGATCAGATGGTGAAGTAGCAGGTCAGAACTTTTCTAACTCTAATCTTCATTCACCACGTATTTGTTCTATGACTAGTGTTCAGATCAGCATCTGACCTAGACACATGTACTAAGTCCCTATTGTCAAGCATTCTGGAGCAGAAATATAGACAAGAGAAATATAGACAAAGATGCCAGTTCAATTTGGTTAATCTCCAACTTGACATTACTCAGCACCTCACAGCTCCTGCTGGAAAAATGCTCTCTCACCTGACATTTCACTCAGCACCCCTATCTACCCACTTACATTCCACTCCCAATCTTGTGCTACAACAACACACTCAAAATAAAACAGAAAAATCGTGCAAAAAAGGCACTTTCAAAAGTCCTCAGTTTTCCTAGAGCCAGTCTACTGTACTTCCAAGCCATAGATAGCCCTTTCCCTGTGCATCCTAGCCCAACTAAGCTTGACTTTCTCCCATAAAACCCTAAGCAACAGGTGAGCAAGGACCATAATCACTAGGAGGGGGGAAAACGCATAAGTAAAAAAGTAATGAAAAAGAAAATTCAACACTTTAGGGGGACAGAAAAGTCCCCAGAAATGTTTGTGCACAGGGCTCAGCTCGTCCCTCTGTCCCTCAAGCTGGCTTCTCTCTGTCCTCTAAACATTTCTAGGGGCTTTTCTGTACTTATTAGATATTAAAAATATTTGAAAAGGTGGCAGTCTTTCAGTAGAAAATAAAAATCAATTAGCTCTTGACCTCTAACTCTTTCTCAATCCCTTTCCTTCCAGCCAGAACACGTTATTACCAACAGCTCACCACCTCATGTTTATAAAGAGAAAGGTAGAACTGATTTGACTGTCCAAATAACCAAAATTAAATTAACAAAGGAAAGAAGGCAAAACGGAACCAAAATAAACTGTGAAAGGAGCACAGCACAGTGTCCCTGCTACTCTGGGGCACTATGGGACTAAAAGCCATGGTATGGCCAGTAAATAATGTTGAACACCACAAAGGCAAGAGGGAAGAGGATCCGGCACCACTTATCAATCTTAGGAATGTAGTCAGGGTCAAAGATCTCAGAACAAAACCTTTCCCTGCAGGAGTGCCCAGGGCTTGGAGGGCAACTATCATCAGATTCTGAACTACTGTCCTCATCTTCATCAAATCCCATGAAATTGTCATCATTATGGCTCCAGGTAGTGTCAGCATCACGCTGTAGTTGGTTCTCAAGGTCAAGGTAGTCTTGTTCAACGTTGATGTCACCAGGCAAGTGAAGGAACTCCTCACGGCACCTATGCATGTTATCAGGCTCACAGCTTGCTTCTTGCACGCACCCCTGGCCATGGATGAGCAGATGCTTTCTAGTGGGGCCAGAGCCATGGTTGTCATCCAAGCTGTAGCTCTCTTCAGGGTCTTCTGGGTCACAGAAGGTCTCAGCATGGCAATGGGCCTCACCAGGATTGTAGATTTTGGTAGGAATAACACTGCCATCAGTCTCAAAACCATTAAAGCGAGTGTCACAGCTGTGCAGTGCCTGCTCTGAGGTGGAGGAGAGATCATTCAAGCTTTCTTCAGTGGCCAGCCAAGACTGGAGCGAGAGTGAAGACAGTGAGCTGAGGCTTTCTGAGGTGGCCAGTGGGACCCGCTCTGAGATGAAGGTCAAAGAGTCGAGGCTTTCTGGGCTTGCTGAGTGGGCCTGCACTGGTCTAGAGAGAGGAGAGCCACTTTCGTCTTTGATGTCAAACTGGTCATCTTTTGAGGAAATAGTGGATAGACTCATAAAGTCAGCAGATTCACATCCTACATGAATAACCACTTTTGGGGAGGGAGGAGCACTTGTGATCGTTTCGACTGACAGAATCTCCTCTTCCTGGCTTCTCTGGCACACACGGGGCTGAGGAACAGGACCAAGAGGCTGTTAGCATGTAAGGGGAGTCCCTGGTGGCTGCCAAATCTGTGTAACTCTGAGGCAGCTGCTCCCTCTGGAGTGCTGTGTGGTGAACAGAGGCAAGGCCTCCTCAGGCAGTTAAGATTTGGCTCCCTGTGAAGGAGGGAGTGGTGCTAAACATTAATGTACCACCAGTAGCAAAAGCCTCAGCATGGCTTTGGGAGTCAGAAAAGCAAAGGAAGGAAGGGTAGACCAGTTCTCTGTTGTCTGTTTTTTTTTTTCCCTTTCGACCTCCTTATGCTCCCTTTTGCTCTGGCTCCATCACTTGCCCTTGGAAGCATGCTAAGTGGACTAGATTTGAAGACCAAAGGTCTGGGGAAATCTAGCTCTGCCACTTACAAGCCTTGTGACTTGGAACAATGACAACCTATAGAGGAGTGATAATAAATTTTTCTACTTCTTTGTTATCTGGTGTGTGTGTGTGTGTGTGTGTGTGTGTGTGTGTGTGTGTGTGTGTGTGTGTTTTAAAGGAATTACTAAGAAATGTGAAAGGGTCAAGTGCTAAGCTTAGGCTAAAGAGGTACTCAGGAAAAGCTGATTATCAGCCAAAATGTCAAACCTGCAGCTCTGATTCCTCCTGGTAGCGATAGTGATCCATGATTTTTCGGGCTCTGCTGCGTTGCCTATGACGGCGCCGAGTTCCTACTCGGCTGTAGAAAAGATAGTTGATGTAGACATATTCCAGCAAGGACAGGAACACGAAGAAGAAGCATACAACCATATAGATGTCAATGGCCTTGATACAAGAAAATTCAGGGAGTTTTTCCCGCAGGTGTGAATTGATGGTGTTCAGGATGAACATTGAAGTCAGACCTATAAACAACATGGCATAGGTGGCTGAAGTTCTTGGCAAGCCATTGGACTCATAGTACAGGAAGGGAGCAAAGACAATTTCTGGGGTGGGGAGGGTTCTCAGCAGAAAAAGGCCTTCAGCTCTCTAAGTGTGGGGCCTTTCCTCTTTTTTTCCCCCTCCCCATCTTTACACTGAGCCTGTGCTTCAATAGTTCAGTGACTTCTCATTGCTTTTAGGATCAAGTAAAAATTCTCTAGCTATGATTTTACAGAGATTTACATCTCCAGTCCCATTTTACCCTATAATGGCCCTCACCCTTTGGCTTCTAGTCCATATGCTTTCCTTTAGCTCCTCAATATTAAATGAGATCACATCCCTAGAAGGTTTTGTGAGCCCTAAAATATTACAGAAATATAAAGTTTTAGTATAGTATATGTTCCTAAAGAAGGAATCTAAGGAGTCTGCCTCAAAGATGGTAAAGGAGAAACCAGACCTAGATCTAAGACACACTGTTTTCTTTGTGGTGAGGCCAGATATACTTAGGAGTTGATTTCTTAGGCCCCTCCTTGATACTGCTAAAAAAGCTTTGATGCTCCCCATTGTTTAGCCATGAAATTCCAACTGCTTAAACTACATTTTAAGGTCTTTCCAAGTCAAACCAATCTTTCTGCTACTCTTCCCCAGCTGCTGCCCCAAGTACTTTATGATTTAGCTCCCTTTTAGGGCCCTTGTGCTTTTAATCAATTTATTTCCTCTTTTAGGGAATGGCAAATCTTGTGTCTCTGCCTCCTACAAGTCTTGAAAACCCAGTTCATGCAATAGTTTCTTGGGGCAGTTTTAGCTAAAAACAAAACAAGCAAACAAACAAACAAAAAACTGGGTCATTTCCTCCTGTGGATTCCAGTGTCATCTGTCTTGGTCTTCCACTAGGTACTCATTGAGGGCAGCTCCTTTAAAAGTCCTCTGCTGCTTAGTAGGGCATTTTGATATGTTGTTTAATCAATGTTTGTTGTATTGCATTTCTGATCTGCATTTAGGACTTGTCCATTCATTTATATATTCAGAAAATAATGAATTCTAGTACTTTGGGCCCAACACATGAAGATCCCAGCCCTTATTTTTTTCACACCTGTTGGTCTCTCTGCTGGAGATTGGCTGAGTACCTGTACAAATGCTTGCTGGGTAGGACCTATCTTGTTTCCTTGCCCTTGCAGTCACACACTGTTCCTATACTTTTCCCTTACTCAACTTTTTTCCTCTCTGGGATTTGGGAGAGAGGGAGGGAAAGACCTACCGATTGTCACCCTGGCTACAGAAGATTCATAGTTCATCCAAAACGTTGCCCAAGAAGCAATAGTGGTGATGATAGTAGGCCAATAGACCTGCACAAGGTAGTTGATAATTTTCCTCTGGATCAGGAATCTCAGTATTAGTCGCACATAGGAACCTGGCAAGAAGACATACTGTTATCAGGGTGGCAGGTCCAAGGGGATTTTCAGGGTTAAGTATAGGATGGAGGAAGGGAAATCAATGGGCAGTTCAATTTCTAATACTACAGCCTAGGTGGTCTGCTGAGCAGACCACATTTGCTGCCTTAAGGACAGTGACAATGGCATGTGTCTGTATGGCATAGCAAATCTGCTTTCTTCTTCTTCCTTTCTCCCTTCCTCCATGTCAACTGAAATTTAAAAATTGGAGAGACATGACATGTTTTAAAGCTGCAAACAGATGGAGGGTGAGGGACTGGCCCTGAGAGGAGGCCTGCTTTTATCAACACAAGCATGAATCCTTTATACCTGTGGGGTGTTAAACTTGGCCAAGTGCTTCCACACCCATTTCCTTATTTGCAGAGAGTAAGCCACAGGGACTTTAAGAAGGACGTTTTTGGTAGGTTCCAGAATCAGAAAAAAATAACAAAGGAGGCCATGCAGAGTGTAGAGGTCCAAGGCAGAGGTCCCCAGAAGTTTGCCAGGGTACCAAAGAGACAAGAGACAGGAGACAAGGAAGTAGTTAGACCCACCTGTGTAGAAAATCTCCTCTTTTCTAGTTATTATCTTTCCCAGGAGGTTAAATTGAGGGATCTGTAGCTTTTCAGTCCCCTGGATGGCATTCTCATCACCTTCCCAGTATAACATGATGTCTTCAACCGTGTAACCATCTGGGAAACAGAGAGTAACAGAGTTATCCAATCTCAGAAAACAGGGATAGGCAGATTTCACACCAGTACAGTCTGTGGAATCAAAGGATGGTTGATACCTGCACTTCGGGGGTTCCTTTGTGTTTTGCTGAGTCTGAGCATTTGGGGAGGGGGGCACTTGGAAAGGGAACTCTCAGTTTGGAGGTGTATTGTTGTTGTTGTTGTTGTTGTTTAGCCAGGAAGGAAAGCACAGCAAAGAAATGTGTTCCTATCCACTAGCTTGTGCATAATTTCCCAATAGCAGGGTAAAATTTTCTCATGGGACTATTTACACCCTAAAGTCCACCTTCTCCCAGATGCCATGTCTATCTATCTATCTATCTATCTATCTATCTATCTATCTATCTATCTATCTATCTAGGAGAACAGAGACAGGGAGGGAGGGAGTAGGGGAGATGTGCCATTCCTGTCACTATCAAGTCTGTCTTTAGTTTCCCAATGGCCACAAACATAGGTAGGGAAGAAGGGTCCATGAGAGATAGACATACAGCTCTCCACTTCCAGCTTGCAAATCTGCTTGTCCAAAGGGTATTTCTGAAGATTCATAGAACAAGCTGCTGTGGTGGTGAGTCTGCAAAGGAAAAGCAAAAGGAAAAGAAAAGTGAGTCTAGCCCAGGCAAGCAGCCACTCCCGAGAACATTGCAACGTTGGGGAAGGAGAGGTATCCCAAGGACTGACCTGTCCAACACCTTCCTGTACTTCCTACACTAGAGCTGAACCCTCCCTCCCTCTCTACTTTTTTCCTTCCTTCCTTCCTCCCTTCCTTCCTTCCTTCCTTCCTTCCTTCCTTCCTTCCTTCCTTCCTTCCTTCCTTCCTTCCTTCCTTCCTTCCTAAAGGTAAGATGACTTACAATTATGTAAGGAGGAGAGAGGGACATTGTATGTGACAAAGAAACCAAAATGTCTGGCTGGACTTGAATGAATAATACACGTGTGGCATGTCAGGATACCTCGGGGTGTCCAAAGAAGACGGGCCCTTGAAGAAACTGAATGCAGAGACAGAAAAAAGGACTTTCTTGCTGAAGAAACAGCAAGACTGCCAAAAGTAAACTGCTGCACTGAAGTAGCTAAAGCTCCACATCTGCTGTGCAGTGCTCACATGAAGTCCTCAGGTATGGATGTAAACAGTGGCCCAGACCCATCTTTGGCCATGGAAGCTGTTCCCACCCCACAGTGCTCTCATCTTTGTGTATCAGACTTTGAGGGTACTGTGAACTAGCAAAATGTCAGTGGATATAAATGGGTAGGAGGGATAAGGTGGGCCATGAAGTGTTGGGCAGAGACTTCAAGTAGCCTTGTGTTGGGTCCATGAGAGGAATCTGAGGAGGAATCTTGAAGAAGCTAGGGAAATGGGAGAAGTGACCAGTGCAAACAGGATAGTTTTAAAAGCTCTCTGTCATCTGAGCTGGGGGGCTCTGCTCCAGCCCTTATTCTACCATTCCCAGCAGCTAACCCCAGCCTAGTAGTCCCTTTCAACTTTTGAAATGATGTCCATTTTTCACAGTGGGTAGGGTGTGTGTGTGTGTGTGTGTGTGTGTGTGTGTGTGTGTGTGTGTGTGTGTCTCCCTTCTGTGAATCCTCCATGCAGCACTAATCAGCTGAGGTCCCTTTTAAATGAAACAAGTGTGATCAGTGTCTTGTTCCATGCAAGCTTTGTTATTCTCTGACTCCAGCACCTTGTTCCATGGGACAGTGGATGGGCAAATAAGAGGGAAACAAGACACAGAACAGGAGTATCCTAGAGAAAGAGAGACCCAGAGATAGAGCTGAATCCTGACAGCTACCTCTTGGGGAAATTTTCTGAGCTAAATTTCTCTCTTATGCCTAAGTGATGGTTTGTAAGAGATGATACTGTGAGGAGAACATTGGTGGCTGTCTGCAATGCTATATATGGACCAATGAGGAGTTCTAGCATGCACACATTCTGTGTGTGCAGAGCCACAGACAATACACACATACTGCATACCTCTGGGTCTCTACATGATACAAATATGACCAATGGCACACCTTGGGCCCTCTCCCTTACTGCATGGACTTCAGAATTTATATGACTCCCTCCCTCACTGCATGGGAGAGAAATGACACAAAGATAAATAACAGAATTCTATAATGCTAAAGCATTGATTTTCCAGTTGAAAGAATCAAGGAGGATTTATTGACGAAGAAGGCATTTGAGTTAGCAACTGAATGATGTCCAAGATTTGGACTCATGGAAAGGGCCACTCCAGACAGAAGCAACAGCAGAAGCCAAGGTGTGGAGACAGGACAGCTAAGGATGTCTGTGGAAAATTGGGTAGGATGAGTGAGGGGGCAGTGCAAGATAGGTTTGAAGAGCAACGGGATCCTCCATGTGTTCCTTAGAGTGCATTCATGGGATACTCAGTGGGAATTATGAAGCCTGCCAGGAGGCTCCCCTGACCTCTGGGAAACTCACCGGATGCCATAATGCACTGTTCCATCTGGGTGAAGCTGAAACATACGATTTTCCACAGTCATGTCATGCACGAAGGTATCCTTGCTATTTAGAAAGTAGCAGTCGGGGAGCCACAACTTGTCAGCCATCCGATAGTCCAGAGTCAAGTTTAAGTTGGTCTCACAGTATGCTAGACGTGGGTCTTTCCAGGTTTGATGAAAAAACATCGTGACCTTACAGTCCTGGGGAAAGAAATCTCAATTGTGAGCAAGGTTGTCCAACTTTTCATTCTCAGAGAGTGTGTGTATGTATGCAGGTGTAAGAAATCTATACTAATAAAAGCCTAGGTGGTCCTCACACCCTCGTGCGACGGCCTCACGTCATCACAAAATGGCCACCACAAGATGGCCATCACAAGATGGATGGCAGGGAAGGGCAGTTGGGGGTGAACAGGCCAGCAGGGGAGGGCAGTTGGGGGTGAACAGGCCAGCAGGGGAGGGCAGTTGGGGGTGAACAGGCCTGCAGGGGAGGGAAGTTGGGTGCTACCAGGCTGGCAGGGAAGGGCAGTTGGGAGCAATTGGGTCAGCAGGGGAGGACAGTTGGGGGCAATCAGGCTGGCAGGGGAGGGCAGTTGCAGGAAATCAGGCCAGCAGGGGAGCAGTTAGGGGTGATCAGGCAGGCAGGCAGGTGAGTGTTTAGGAGCCAGTGGTCCTGGATTGTGAGAGGGATGTCCAACTGCTGGATAGGGACCCTAAACCGACAGTTAGACATCCCCTGAGGGGTCCCAGATTGCAGAAAGTGCAGGCCAGGCCGAGGGACAACTCCCCCCCCCCCCCCCGGCACAAATTTTGTGCACCAGGACTCTAGTCCTATTAATAAAAGCCTATGTGGTCATCACGCACTCATGCTGTGAAGCCCTCATGCCACAATGAGCAGTCACCAGGAGGCTGCATGCGCAGTGGGGGCACATGGGTGGGCGGGGCTGCGTGTGCACACAGGTGGGCAGGGGCTTGACGCTGCATGCACAGCATGGAGGTGGGTCCTGTGGCTCCATGCAGTGAGGCCTGGGGTCCCACAGCTCCATGCGGCATGGAGGTAGGACTCCCGGCTCTGGCTTACTTCTTTGGGGCAATCCATTGAGGAGCCCCGGATGGGTGGGCAGGGCCTACCTCTTTGGGGTGATCGATCACGGGGCTACGGCACTGTGAGAGGGCACAGGCCAGGCTAAGGGACTCCCCCCACACTCTGAATGCATGAATCTTATGCACTGGGCCTCTAGTACATTATAACTATTGATGACTAATGAAACATATGTAAGAATGTTAAATGTTAAGAATAATAAAATTAACTCTGGGGAATTAAAATCCAGGTTAATAGAACATTATCAATAATTTTTAAGTTTCAATATATCCCTTTCAGAATATATTTCCTACACCTCCCAGCAGTAACCATTTAAATCTTAGATTTAAATGACAAGAATTCCCTTGTTTTATGTTGAAGTTTTTTTATTATTTTTTTTATTTTTATTTTTTATCTATGTATGTGTTTCTAGGAAACATATTGCTTAGCTGGGCCTATTTGAAGATTTTTTTCCCAAATGGAATCAAACTGTATGAATTCATAATATTATTTCACTCAAAATTATATTTGTGATATTCATTCAGGTTGCTGTGTGTAATTAAAATTTGCTCACTTGCATTGCTTACATATTGGATAATATTTCTTTACATGAATATACTATGTATATTATTGTGTGAACACACCATTCATGCCAAAATCACAATGAAATAAGAATTATAAAGTGAAAGTTCTACGTCATACCCCCTCTAAGAACAGATGGGAGTTTCTAATGCTCCTGCCTTGCCAACATTGGTATTGTCTGACTTTTGACTTTTGTAAATCTGGTAGATAAGTAATAGGGTCTCATTGTCGTCTTATTTTTCATTTCACTGATTAATAATAAATTCAAGCATCTTTTCATATTTTTATTTGCTACTTAGTTTTCTTCACAAAAGTAAAGTTCCTGTTCAAATTTTCTGATCTTTTTTTTTTGTTCTTAGTATTCTTTTTATTAGTCCACATGAATTATTTATATTTTTGTATCAGTCCTTTTTGCTGCAAATATCTTAGTCCATTCTAATTTATCCTTTCACACTTGTTAAACTGGTTTTGTTTGTTTTGCAAAACAAAAGTTTCAAAAGTTTTGGCTAAACATAATTTTTATATAGTTGAAGTTACCAGTATTTATTTTTATGGTTTGTGTTTTCTGTGTCTTTTTTTTTTATTAAGTCCTTATCTACCATAAAGGTGTAAAGACAGTACCCTATATTATCTTTTAGAAACTTCATAAACCTTTTAGGTCTAGAATCCATATGGATTTATTTTTTTATTCCAAGTGGTTGTAGTTTCCAAAACCTATTGTTTCTCCATATGAGCTATGTTGCCTGTCAGAACAACTGGAGTTGACTTATGACTTTACCCATTGTCCCATGTACTTTGTCCCCAGTTTTACGGCTGGAGCTGGCACACTTACCATAGTTATTTCTGAGATGTGTTCAATATTGGAGACATACATAGATATTCCCACAGGCACAGGGTCACCTGCAATGCAGGAAAACAATATTACATGTAGGGTAAGATAAAGGGTAAGAATCTGAATTCAGGAGCCAGACTGCCTGGTTTTGAACCCCATTTTGACACTTACTAGCTGTGTGACCTTGAACAAGTTACTTAACCTCTCTGAGCCTTTATTTCCTCATGGGTAAAATGAAGATCATTTAAGCACTGGTCTCACAGTTAATGCAGACCAAGACCTTAGAGCAGGGCCTGGCCCCTGATACACTAAAAAGGAAGAAATTAGGGCAAAATAAAGAGAAAATAAGGTGATGAAGCACTCTTCTTTTAAATGTTTTCCTGATAAAAACTAAGGCACAATAAACGCAAAACCAAGAGCTAAGATATTTGGTGTGTATGATATTTGTATGAGTGCATGTGGGTGTGTCCATGTGTGAGGGAAGGTGTGTCTTTGTGTGAATGAATGTGTGAGATGTGCACATGAGTTTATGTGAGCATACTCACAGGGATGAGTAAATATGTGAGTGTGTTCATGTGCAGGTGAATGTGTCATTGTGTACATAAGTATATGTGAGCATGCCTGTGTGTGAGAGAATGCATGAGCATGATTGTGAGCTTCAGTATGTGGTCTGAGAGTAAATGTGAGCACATATACATGTATATAGCCATGTTGTATGAGAGTGAATCTATTAGTGGGTTCATGTGAAAATGAATATTTGTGTGTGAATGAGTGAATGTGTGACTATGTGTGAGTGTTATGTGAGTTTGTTAACATGTAAAGACATGTGTGAGCATGGGTGTATTTGGGAACATATCTGTGTGTGTGAATGTGTGTATATGAGTATATCCATGTGTATGAGTGAATCTGTGTGTATTCATATGTGTGAATGCATGAACATATTTGTGTTTGCATACATGGTATGTGATTAAATATGTAAGTACATGCAATCATGTAGGCATGTTGGTGTGTGGAAGTGAATGTATGAATGTGTTCATGTGCAAGTGAATACATGAGCATCTTTGCATTTGTGAGTTTGTCTGTACATGAATGAATTTGTATTTTCATGTATGTGAGCATCTTTGTATGTGAGTGACTGTGTGACCATGTACATATGTGAATAAATGTGGGCATGTTTACATGTATGAATATTTCAATATTATTTAAATGTTTTTGAGGGAGTGAATGTGTGAGCATCTTTATAAATATGAGTATACTCATGTGAGTGTATTAATGTGGATGTGTGAGTGAAGGTATGCGAGCCAATGAATGTAAGAGCAAATTTCTGAGTGAATGAATGTGTGACCATTTAATTGCATTTAATTGAGTGTACTGTGTGGGAGTGAATATGGGGTTGTCTCTGTGAGATTGTTCACATATTAGTATATTTGTCAGCATGTCCATGTGTGAGTGAATACATGGTCATGTTTGTGTGTATAAAGTTGTCTTTACATGAGTGTATGTGGGTATGTTTGTGTGTTGAGTCAATATGTCTGTTTACATGCATGAGTATGTTCATGTGTGAGTCTGTGTTAGTATGTTAAGTGCATATAGGAGGGAATGTATAAATGTGTGCTTTTATGAACATTTTTGCATGAGTGACTCCGTATGTGTGTGAGTGAATATTTGGGGATGTAAGTGAACTTATGAGTGTGTGATTGTATGTGTCTGTGTGAGTGAGCATGTTCATTGTGTGAATATGTGAATATTTGTGTGTGTTACCTTGTTCATATGCAAGAAATAACTGTAATAAGTTATCACACTTATATATTCACATTCATCATATATATGTGTGCGTAAGCATATTTATGTACTTTAGTGAATGTGTGAGCATGTCTGTGAGTGTAATTGAGTATGAGTCTATGTGAGTGTGGTTGTGTGTGAGTAAATGTGTGGCCATGCTGATGTGCAAGTGAGTTCATGAGCAAATTCATGTGAGTTAGTATATCACTGTGCAGGTATGAGTGAATTGTGAGCATGTCAATATGTGCATTTGTGCATGCTGATGTCTATATGTATTAATGAGTGAGCATGTTTTTGTGTGAGGATATTTGTGTGAGTTGATAAATATGTGGACATGTTTGTGTGTGAATGAGTGTGCTCATGTGTAAGTGAATACATGAGTCTGTTTGTGTGTTAATGTGGGAGTATGTGTATGTGAGTGAATGCATAATTTCATGTGTGTGAATGTTTAAGTATGTATGTGAATGAATTTGTGAGTGTGATTGTGGATGTGAGCATGTTTGTGTGTGGATGTTTAGCTATGTTCATGTGTATATGTGAATGTCTGAGCATGTGCATGTGAGTGTATGTCAGTGTGTATATATGTGTGAGTAAATTCATCAGTGTATTGAAGAGTGTTTGTGTATGTTAATATGGTGTGTGTGTGTGTGTGTGTGATTGAATGTGTGAGTGTGTTTCTGCCTCCTGGCTTTCTTTTTCAGACCTAGGTCTGAGTGCTGCCCATTCAAATGTGATCAGGAATGTGAAAATATATACTAAACTATAAGGTATTGTGGAAAAATGCATTTTTATTGTTTCCTCATTGGCTCAAAGCTGCCTTCACCAAGCCCCACAGCTAAGTCATTATTCTATGTAGTACATCACACTGCTGCTATGGAAACATGTATGCCACCTGCAATTCAGCCCATTGGTTTCATTGCAGGCTGACTACCCAGAAGCTGAGTTGCTAAGTGGGAAATGTGTTATTCCTACCTCAGTTCTTCAAAATGCAAAGTGCTACTGGGATTCAGCCTATGAATGGCAGCTGAGAAGTAAATGGGCCTCTGTGTGAGGTCATAGCTCAGACTCTAGCATTCAGGTTTATTGTGAATAATCCCCAGAAAAGTACTCTGTAGTGACAGGGGTTTCTAGAAATGAAGTTCTTTATTACAGGCTTCCAGGTGCCCCGCATTCCTTCAGAGGATGGACGCTGTGTTAGGCAAGTATCAAGCCCCAGAGAGGCCAGGCAGTCAACCCCTCACCACCTCACTGCACTGTCAGACTTCTTATCCTAGACTAGTGATGGCGAACCTATGACACGCATATCAAGACCAGTGACACGCGAACTCATTTTTTTGGTTGATTTTTCTTTGTTAAATGGCATTTAAATATATAAAATATCAAAAATATAAATCTTTGTTTTACTATGGTTGCAAATATCAAAAAATTTCTATATGTGACACGGCACCAGAGTTAAGTTAGGGTTTTTCAAAATGCTGACACGCCGAGCTCAAAAGGTTCGCCATCTATGTCCTAGACCGGGGTGGGCAAACTTTTTGACTCGAGGGCCACAATGGGTTCTTAAACTGGACCGGCGGGCTGGAACAAAAGCATGGATGGAGTGTTTGTGTGAACTAATATAAATTCAAAGTAAACATCATTACATAAAAGGGTACGGTCTTTTTTTTTTTTTTTTTTTTTAGTTTTAGTTTTATTCATTTCAAACGGGCCAGATCCGGCCCGTGGGCCGTAGTTTGCCCACGGCTGTCCTAGACCATTCAGTGCCACTCAAGCAACCCTATCTCCTGTAGAGCATACCCATGTCCAAGGGCTCCCAGTTAAGGGGGCAAGTGGGAACTGAAATATAGTCACCAAGCCATGAGTCCTGGCTCAGGGATATAGCCTGGAGAAAAGGGACCTCAGACCTATTTATATTTTATCCACCTAGAGGGGACACCTTATGTGCTAGCAGTGGTCAAGATGAGAGCTTAGCTAAGGTATCCCACATCCCTAAAAGCATAAGAAAGGGGAATAAGAAGCTTCCAGATAAGGTGTCTAAGTGCTCTCTCTGGGGTGATGGCCTCAGGCTCATATCCCACTGCTGTCCCGCCTGATGGGCTCAGGAAGGCAGGAAAAGTGGGAGGGGGTTACCACTTCCCTCCCTCTGGGAAACTGTGTTGTCTCACCTCTTCTTCCTCCCTAGAATCCATCAGAATACCAGAGGAAGACAAATAAATAAAGGAATGATGACAATGTCCCATTCATTCCTTCACTCCACACCTATGTCATGCTAGGTGCTGGGCTAGACAAAGTCATCAGGGGTCTGCCTTTGGCAAACACTGTGAAGTCCACTTCTCTTGCCCAGAAGGAAGCAGCTTTGTTAACTTTCCCAGGCTCCTCCTCCTCCACTTCAACCTCTTCCTCTTCTTCTCAAAGATATAATAAGGCTCCCATCTGAACCTGACCCAGTTAGGTGTGACTTCTGCATTCGGGTTGTGTATGTGTGTGCCTGGGTGGGAGGGGGGCTTGAAACTCTACTTCACTTCAGACACAAAGGGGAATCTGACTCTGTCTAGTGGGAGACTTTACAGAGAGTCCTGGTTCCCTCAACCTTGAATCCCCTAGCTCATATATCCCATTGATTGCTTCCCCTCACAATACAACAGCCCCAGACTTAAAGCCTATAGTGTCTCCTTCTGTCTAAATGTTAGAAGGTCCAGTGTTCTTCTAGCCCTCCTACATTCATCTACTGTTTGGCCAAATAAGAAACTCATCTTTTCTCATATGCCCCAGTCTGCATGTTCATAAAGCGTATGAGGAGTTTGTCAAGATGTTAGGCATCAGGTGTAAACAAATGCAAATTAGCTCAAAATATGGATATATTGTGAATCAGCCACATCTGACAATCCCCAGAGGTTAGTCCTTGCCCTGCTCCTTACTCCTAGCCCTGGGTGCCTACAGAGATGGCATCTTGAAACATTTCTGTATACTGAAATGGATGTTGGTCAGCCTTTACTGAGAAACAAGAGAATGAGGAAAAGAGAAAACATAGTAGCTACTCCCTTGACACCCACCCACTGGTGCTTGGTGCAACTGATCAAAAACCAGTGTTATGAAATGGGATGCTGGCTGTGCCCTGACACCTGAATTTCTATATTGAAAAGAGCTTGCCTTCTGCCCTCTCCACTCCTGCTTCCCAGTCCCAGTGCACACTCACCTTGAATCCTGGGGCTGCACATTCTGCCCTCATAGAAGGAGCATACAGCAAAGGGGACAGGAGTGAAGTGTCCCACCTCCAAGCTTAGCCCAGGGTGACCATCTTGGTTTTCAATGTGCCTCCCCAGGTAAATCACAGCCTTCCACCCCTCTCTCCGAAAAGGTCTATGACAAAGGAAATTCCCCACAGTTGTAAGCCCTTTAGGGTGGAGGCGTTGCATATTCAGACGACCTTTCTCTATTCATATGTACAAATGTTAACCATTAGCATTCATTAACACTTTAGAATAGGGGGTCTACTACCATCTGCAGGAAGTGGAATGCTTTCTCTGACTTAGCCATTCACTCTTTTTTTTTTTTTTTTTGCTTCTTTTCTGTAACTTTGAGCAGAAATGTGACTAATCTCTATTTAATGCACAGTTCCTTTTGTTTGTCCTTGATCTAGGTTTTCTGGGTGTCCCTTAAGCTAGAGGATGCTACTCATATTCTGAGGGTTCCCTGTCCCTTATAAATTCTGACCCAGGCCATTTGCCTTTTCCAAGTGTGTGTGTGTGTGTGTGTGTGTGTGTGTGTGTGTGTATGTGTGCGCGCGCGGGGGGGGGGGGGGGCGGGGCGGGGGAGTATGTAGAGATATAAGGAGAAACTGATGTATTGGCTTCCTGGAGGTTCAAACATCAGTTTATTTGTCATTTCTCATCTCTGTGCTTGCGGTCTGAGTGATAAAGTACAGAGTTTGGATTTTATTTGTCAGTTAAATAAAACCATCAAAAGTTCCTGAGGTGATCAGGCTGAATTTATAAAGATCATGATGCCTGGAGTGTGTTGAATAAAATGAGCTTGGTGGGAACTAAAGGTTTAGGGAGTAGACAGAGGACTGGTGAGTAGGTGATGTAGACAACACAGAGGAGACCATGCCTTTAATTTTGAACTAACTGAATAGGGTGAGTGTCCAGGGTGCCCAAAATGTATATTCAAGTAGAAGAACATGTTACTCTCCACAGATGGGACAGAAAATTCTAGCCTGAGAAGCATAACACTTGTTTTGTTTGGCATACCCATTTCTGGGGTTAGCACTATCCCAGCCACACCAGGAAGTGCTCTTCAGGCTTTCTCTGTGTAATTGTAAAAGAGTATGGAGGTAAAGAAGAGGGCTTCTTGCAGAGAAGTGCGGAAAATTCCAGGGGTAGAGCAAAAGGCCTGGAGGTTGGAGGCCGGATGGTGTTCACTGCAGATCTCTGAAGGGGAGAGGCAGAAGTATTGAGTCAGGGGAGTGCCACTGATCAGCTTATTGAGTAGGGGTAGCTTGTTGTATCTCAGCTCTGTTCCACCTAACATGACTCTAGTGTCTGGACGTATCTTACCTCCAAAATGTGGTCTCAGACGGGCATCATATCCTGACAGCACCCTGTCCAAAATCTTGTGAACCACAGCTTCATTTGCACAATTTTTGCTAAAACAGAGAAGTCATCAGTAAATGACACATTGCTTCTCAGAGAACAAACACCAAAGAGCACGCCAGGTGTCAGCTTGCCAGGGCCTTCCCTTCTCCTGCACACACAGAGACATGTACAGTCATACATGTATGTGTCTCTCCCTGCTCCCCTCCCTCTCTACAGTGAGTCAGCCAGAAGTGCAGCAGTGACGCACTTTCCTCCTCCCCCTCCAAAGCTTTTATCCAGAGGATGGGGCACACAGATTGGATCCTGGTTACTAGGGAGGTTTAGGGGTGGAAAGGGGGAAGGCTATAGGGGATGTGGAGAGGGGATGGAGGGGACAGGTGGGAACCCTCAGATAAATGCATTGCTTCAATCCCCTAAGAAACCTCACCTTACCATCAGCCTGAATACAGCTTTCTGGGTTGGTGGGAATCTTTACAGGGACACCTAATTGCCTCAGGAAAGTCATTTTCTACCCTTAGTGCCCTCCTGAGCTGAGCCAACCAGTTTACATTTTCCAGCGCAGTCACATTGCCTCTACCTGGGCTAGGGCTGGGCATTTTGTTGTCACGTCTATGTGAACCTTTTTATACACCTGTTTTAAACACTTGGCATATGGCATATGACACAGAGAGAGCCTGGCTTATGTAGCAAAGATTTATGACCCTCACCCAATCAAAACATTTCAGATTCTTGAGGCTCAAGGCTGTCCTAAAACAACAACAACTTGTATTCTGGGAGCAGGCATCTCTCTGGCTAAGTATGTGCTTCCAGCCTAGATGTGTCTTGGGTGAGTATATATAAGTAGACCCAGCTCAGCCCCGCAGAGCCGATCTTTCCAGAAATCTCTGATGTGCTCACCCAATTCATCTAGATCTTCAGTGGGTCTCTTTCTCCCAAAAGGGGCTTGTGAATTAGGACAGGCCCTGGCTATCACTATGGCTTTTAGAATCTTTGACGCAATGACCAGGGAATGTCGACCCCTGTGCATTTCAGTGTGTGTGTGTGTGTGTGTGTGTGTGTGTGTGTGTGTGTGTGTTGGATTGAGGTTGAGACCATTGCAGAGCTGTCTGCTGGAACCTTGTTTAACTACCCACCCTCCCTTTTTTGATGACATGCTCATTTCTGGTTTGCCATTAAAATTATTTCCAATCATCTTTAATGACAAAATTTCATTATACATCATTCCAAAGTGTGCACATAAATTACTCCTAAATTACAGTAATGCATTCCCACCTGTTTAGGACTGCATATTACCCATATGCCAGTACTCAGGTTCCCTGGCCAATGCAAATACACATTTCTGTGTGATCTACACATAAAGATTGACTGTTTAACATCTCTTCAGATATTTGCAGACTCAAACAAACTTAAAATCAAACACAGAAAAAAAACCTGAATCTTCAAATGTTTTCACAGGAGTACGTACAAAAGTGCACCTCTCTTAGACCACCTGGTTATACGGTTATACAGCCACCGATCGCACTATCTGTGCTCCTGTGAAACTGAGTCATTAATTTCTATCTGCGGCATCAGAAAAGGTCCTCACCGCTCAACATGCACATGCAAGAACACACACGCATGCGCCTCAGGGAACAGACTAAAATGCGCACTCAAACAGGTGTCTCTACTGCGTATGCTTTGAGACTTGCCCATCACCCTGTACCACCACCTCCACTCCAATCCCACAGATGCCAAAATACATGACTGGGGAAAACTGCCCACGGTCGGTCTTAGTTCCTGGGGATGGCTGGCAGACCCTGGGGTGAGGGCATCCTCTCCCCACCCCCGGGGCTGCAATTTGGGCATACAGGGCTCTGTCAGGTGCCACAGTAACAGGTGGGTTCCAGCACAGGACTTTTTTTCAACAGGTCCCCTCCACTCCCACCCAATTTCCCTCAGGGGACCCGCAGGCAGGGCCTGAGTGCCAGGGCTCCCTGACCCTGGGTCTAAGCCTCCCCCAACTCACTCTGTCCAAGTGGCATGAGGTTGCCCGCCCTGCTCTGTGGCTGCCCGGCCCGCCCTGGTGGCAACTGGCTTACCAATTGAAGACGTTCTGGACGACTTCAGGCATGGTCGAGGAGAGCTCGATGTAGAATTCCGGGAGAGAAGTGGTGTTGTTGCCCTCTGAGAGCCATGTCCTGATGAGTAGCAGGAGCACAGCGGCTCGCAGCATCCCTCTGATGCCCATGGCCGCAGCGCTCTGGGGGCCCGAGAGCGCTTAAGAGAGCCCACTGCCACTGGGACAGGGACGGGGTGGGGACAGTGCAGGGCGGGAGGGTGCTCAGGGATCTCTAGGAGACAGTAACTAATGTAAGGAAAGCAGATAGGGCGAGAGGAGCAGCCCCCGCAGCTCTGCTGCGGCACGCATCACCTCTTGGATGGTCCTGGCAGCTGTGATGGTGCGCTCCTGCAGCCGCTTCAGGCTGTGACTGGGCACCCAGCTGGAAGCTCGATGGCTCCACCCACTCCTATCACGGCAGCACCCGCTGAACCAATCCTGCACATACCAGTTGCCGCACAAAAAGGCGGGAGCTCTTGTCTCCACCTAGAATCTGTGCGCTACTGGGTATCTCCCGCCCCCCTCGTCCTCCCCTCCCTCTTTCAGGCCTCTGCAGAGGTTCCCAAGCTAGCCTGAGACAGGGGCAGGGCCAGGCTGGGCAGGGGAAGGGGGAGGGGAGCCACCTGCTACAGGGCTAGGAGCTGATCTGTTGCTAGGGAGATTGGCTTGGTCCTGCTTTTCCTCTTTGCAAAATGTAAAATGTGCGTTTCTCCTGGAAAAGCATGTGCTCAAGAGGGTGTGTGTGTGTGTGTGTGTGTGTGTGTGTGTGTGTGTGTGTATGTTGAAGGGGGTGAGGTGCTTTGACTACTCTGGCTGAATCTGTGTTCTGAAAGAGCTGGACACATTAGGGGATCAGGAGATATCTGACTGCTTCTCATTACCAAACCCCTGGCTCTCCAGTAACCCCACGTGCCTTGCCTCTGGGTGGAGTGGACAGTGATCACGAATAGGTTTTATGGCACCTCTGTGGCCATAGCAGGAGTGCCTCTTCATAAGTATGGAAATTGGGCTCCAGGAGACTGAGAGTTTCTTGAAGGCTTTAGTTTCCCAGAGTATCCTTGACTCCAAGTTTGGGTCCCTGGGACAGAACTTAGGGAATTGGAAGGGTTTACCAACTAGGACCATCCTGAGTTGTGACTCTGTCCCCTAGCCAGGGCTTGCAGAGTTGAAGTGAGGATCTAAGGCTGACACCATTGAAGGGGAAAGAAGGCAAAGGCGAGTGTTTCAGATGTTCAAGGGAATTAGCCCCTGGAGAGCAGGCCATGCCAGTGCTCCTAAATTCTGGCCCTATTATGTGAAAAAGCCTGGAACTTTGACTAGAGGGCTCTTATTCTTTCCACTACCTTGAATATTGTCCTATGAAACAGAAGGATCTCAAAGAATGAGGAAAATTCTCCACCCAACCCCTTCTGTCCTTCCCATCTCAAATCCAGGACAAAGCAAGTAGAAAAAGAGGTTCTCCTCACAGTCCATGGGCCAGAAGGACAATCAAGAAATAGACCTCAGTCATGCTCACCAGTGTTGAACTTCCTAGGGCATGCCATTGGGAAGGATTGCAATGAACATAAATTTCAAGTCCACTCTTGTTTAATTAGAACATTCACACAGAAATACAGCCCTCTTCCCCTTTCTCTCAGCATTTGAAGAAGTGAATTGGGATTGCTTGTGCCCATCAGAGCTTCAGTTGCCTGGTTGGCTGAGGTTTCCCCAAGGTAAGGGTTTAACTTTTTATTCCTGCTTTCTTAACCATTTTTAGAATCAAACTTTAAAAGTCTTACAGTTCTCTGCCTTCTTTTCACGAACAGACCACCCTCATATCTTCCCTCACTTTCCCCTGCTATTGCAGCAAATGTTCTCCTTCCCATGGGTGCAGAAATAAAAAAGGATGGTGGGACCTATATGTCACTTATTGTCATATACAGGAGTGGATCAATTGAACCTACTCCCACTGCTATTAGTTCTGTCCCCATTGTCCCTGGTCACACAGGCATTATTGTAGAGAGAATCTTACACCATTCCAGGTCGTTTTGTCCAAATATTTGGATTGTAATATGAGGAAACTGAGGCCCATATAAGAAAAAGGGATTAAGCACATACAAAATGGACACATAACCATTGAGGCCCAAACTAGAATCCTGTTTCCAGGTTTGCCTATTTCCAGAAGGTTATGTTTTGTGTAACTGAGCTTTCACTGGAAGTTCAGGCAATCGCCAGCAGGTGGGAGTAGATTTATTTAGATGTAGGATGTTCCCAGCAACCTGGAATTAAATTCCACAGGCAGTGGGTCCCTCATTTGAAGCTTGTAGTTATAATTTTTGGGTGACCTTGTGACTATGGAGAGTGTCAAAAGGTTGATGATGATGATGAATTCACTTCCAGACCTTACAACCCAGAGGGCCCTCACAAGAAAAAGAGGCTGAAAAGCAATTAAAAAAATACCAAAATGTACTTGTTTAACTTTTGTCTATTAGAAGATCCATAAACATACAAATTGAATGGACTCAAGCCTGAATATGGGATCATGTTATAGGAGAAAAAACATTGGCCTGAAGTTAGTCCATTTGTGTTCTGAACCCAGGTCCTACCACATGACAGTGAATGTTCCAGTTTGGCTGGAGTGTAGGGTAAATTTGGAGTTAGTCAAGCGGTAAGAGGCAAGAGATTAGGCAGAACCTGGCCTAGTGAGCACCACACACACAATGCTCAATAAATAAATAAAGCAAGAAAGATAGTTTTGTACTTACTTGTCCAAACTAAGGAATTTGATTCTTATTTTAGAGTCACCATAAGCTTTTGAAGTGTTTGTGCAGGGAATGACTTAATCAGAGTGGTGCCTTGGAAAAATCCCTGGTTACTTTGGAAAGGAGGAACCGGAAGTAAGATTGAGGACAATGACAGAAGTTAGGAGGGTATCTTATACCTCTGCTTCTGGTAATGGCAGCCTAGGTGATTTGGACTAAGTGTCCCAGGGAATTCAGGTAAATAAACTGGATGAAATATAAGAAGAAGTTATCTTCATAAAAAGCTAAAACTAATGAGGCTAATCTGTAGATTCAACAAAATCCATATAAAAATTCCAAAGGCGTTTTTTTTTGAACTAGAACAAATAATCCTAAAATTCATACAGAACCACAAAAGGCCACCCCACCAAATAGCCAAAGCAATCCTTAGAAAGAAGGACAAAGCTGGAGGCATCACAATTTGGATTTTAAACTTTTTAATAAAGTTATAATGAAATAGTACAGTACTGGCATAAAAAGAGACACATAGACACATGGAACAGAATTTAGAGCCTAGAATAAAGTCCAAGCATATACAGTCAACTAATATTTGAGAAGGGAGCCAAGAAGACTCAGTGGGGAAAGGATAATTTCTTCAATAAATGGTGTTGGGACCCTGGCCAGTGTGGCTTGGTTGGTTGGTTGGAACATCGCCCCATACACCAAGAGGTGGCAAGTTCAGTCCCTGATTGGGTCATGTGTGGGAAGCAGCCAATTGATGTTACTCTCTCACATCTCTCGCTCTCTCGTCACTCTCGCTCTCACTCTCTCCCTTCCTCTCAAAGTCAGAAAGAACGAAAGAAAGAATGAAAGAAAGAACAAAAGAAAACAAAAGAAAGGAAGGAAGGAAGGAAGGAAGGAAGGAAGGAAGGAAGGAAGGAAGAAAGAAAGAAAGAAAGAAAGAAAGAAAGAAAGAAAGAAAGAAAGAAAGAAAGAAAGAAAGAAAACTTAAAAACTAAAATAAATGGTGTTGGGAAAACTGGATAGCCACATGAAGAAAATGAAATTGGACCCCATCATAGAATACATAGGGAAAAAGCTTCTTGACATTAGTCTTGGCAATTATTTTTTATATGACACCAAAATTATAAGCAACAAAATAAAAAATAAAAAAAAATGGGACTACATCAAACTTAAAAGCTTCTGCACAGCAAAAGAAACAATCAGAAAAATGAAAAGGCAACCACAGAATGGGAGAAAATATTTGCAAACCACACATCTCATAAGGGGTTAAGATCTAAAATATATAAGGATCCCATGCAATTCAATAGCGAAAACACCAATAATCTGATTTTAAAACTAGGCAGAGGCACTGAATAGATATTTTGCCAAAGAAGACATACAAATGGACAACTGGTACATGAAAAGGTGGTCCACATCACTAATCATTAGGAAAATGCTAATTAGAACCATGAGCTATCATCTCATACCTGTTAGAATGGCTATAATAAAAAATACAAGAGACAACAAATGCTGGTGAGGCTGTGGAAAAAAGGGAACCGTTGTATACTTGCTGGTAGTGTACATTGGTACAGTCACTATTGAGAACAGTATGTAGGTTCCTCAAAATGTTAAAAACAGAACTACTATATGATCCAGAAATTCCATTTTTGGGTATATATGTGAAGGAAATAAAATCAGGATCTCAAAGATATATCTGTACTTCCATGTTAATTGCAGCATAATTTACAAATTCAAGACATAGAAACAACCTAAGTATTTTTATCAATGGATGAATGCATAAAGATGACATTATATACAAGGTGGGGCAAAAGTAGGTTTACAGTTTGTGTGTATGCAAAACAAAATGTATTCTTGTATTACTATTTATTAACTATTGTATTATTTTCCATATGAACAAGTCTAAACCTACTTTTGCTCCAACCTGTATATCTGTATATTTTGTGTGTGTGTGTGTATGTGTGTGTGTGTGTGTGTGTGTGTGTATATCCTATATAATAAAATCCTAATATGCAAATCGACCGAATGGCCAAACAATCGGTTGCTATGATGTGCACTGACTACCAGGGGGCAGACGCTCAATGCAGGAGCTGCACCCTGGTGGTCAGCACTAAGGAGGAGCAAGCCCGGCTTCTGGTTGGTCTCCCCTCCCTGACAGTGCTAAGGACTCCTTGGGGGCTGTCTGACTGCCGGCAAGCAGCCATCCTCAGAGGGGTCCTGGACTGTGAGCGGGCGCAGGCCAGGTTGAGGAGACTCCCCCACCCCCAAGTGCATGATTGTCATGCACCAGGCCTCATATATATATATATATGAATATTATTTGGCTATAAAAAAATAAAAAACCCCTGCTATTTGCAACAACACTTATGGATCTTGAGGGCATTCTGCTAAGTGCAATAGGTCAGACAGAGAAAGACATATATTGCATGTTCTTACTTACATGTGGGATCTAAAAAAAGCTGAACTC